TTGGTTGCGGCTGGGCGACGCAACGAAACGACACGCGACGGTCGAACGAATGTAACGCAACGAAACTGAACTAAATGAAATCTTTTAAACGTTCGTTTCGTTGCTGCGAACGAGACGACGAAAAATCGAAATATATGTAGTGCTATACGATAATCGACTTTAAGTGTTCAAGAATAAAGATTATATTATTGTAAAATCAAAGCTTAATTATCGTAGAACGAAACGGCCACATATCATTGCATTCTATTATAGACTGTATTTACTTAATCATAAAGAACATATTGGCGTGCAGACGATCCGAGGACTAGTTGTTCGACGAAGACTGTTTTGATCCGAAACGTAAAACGGTTCTATCGTCGCGGAACACAAAACGGTCCTTGAAAGCGGTTCGTCTTTAGAACGCTCACACCTACTAAATTGATAAAAAAATAACATATATGCCTAAGCTAATCGACGACCTCCGTGGCCGAGTGGTTTGTACGCCGGGTTTCATGGCGTCGCCGACTCGAGAGGTCCCGGGTTCTAATCCCGGTGGGGGCAGATGTTTGTGTGATGAACACTAGCATTTGTACTCCAGTCATGGATGTTTAATATATATTTCTATATAAATATACTTATATATGTAAAGTTTAAGTATTCTATCCGTTACCCTAGCATCCCATAACACAAGCCTTATAGTGCTTACTTTGGGGCTAGGCTAATTGGTGTGAGTGTTGGAAATATTTATTATTTATTATAATTAATCACCACCAAACGAAATCGAAACAGCCATTTTATATTTACTGGAATTAAAGTTGACAATATCAACGTCATTAATTTAAATATTATATGTCTTAAGTAATCTATTAATTAGCGATCTTTCGCCCGCTTTGGTACGGCATATTTTTTGTGCAAATGTTTTAGTTTTTTTACAAAATCTTTACCCGGTATTAAAAACCGCAATTTATTTGTAAGTTCAATACTATCATATTTATTATGACATAAGTCGTATAATACAATCATATCTAACATTGCTCGTCTGTCGATTAGTTTATAAATTTATATATCTGATTATTTATTATAACAGTTGCTCATATTTCAAGTAGCCATGATAACATCTGTAGTTCATATATCGCAGAAATTTCTTTTGCACATTTTCCATCACATCAATATATTTTTGGTACAAAAGGTTCCAAATTGATATGGCATATTCTAACTGACTTCTGATAAGGTTGTAGGTGATTTAAAATTTTCACTAGCACGGACCACAAACCCAAACATTTTAAAAAGCTTTATTTCAATATTATCTATATGTCCATCCAAATGTAATTTCAAATCAAGCAGTATTCTTAAGTCTCGTATGCAGTCCACTTTTTCTAATATGTTATTTCTTAATTTGTATTTGAAGTTACTAATATTTCTTTTTTTAGTAAATGTAATTGTTTTACATTTATTCATACTTAGACCTAAATTATTTTATCGCAATATTCAGTGAATGTATCTAAGTGATTTTGAAAGCGGAAATGAGCGTTAATATAAGTTATGGTATGGTAAATTTTGAGATGATCCACATACAAGGAAAAGTTACAAAACGAGAAACAACTGCTGATATCGTTGATTACATATTACAAAGAGGAGTGGCCCGAAAAAAGATCCTTGGGGTACACCACAGGTAATTGTGATTGTGTCCGATTCAAAGGCCCGAATAACTATTTTCTTAGTTCGGTTGCTGGAATAGGAGTTAAACCATCGCCACAAATTTCCCCGTATACCGTTATACGCGATTTTCTCTAATAGTATCTAATGATCTACGCGATCAAACGCTTTTTTAAATCGGTATATATACAGTCAATTTGTTTGTTTTCGTCCATTGCGTCATACAAATCACAAGTATATGCAAGTAAGTTAGTAATAGTTGACCTTGTTTTGACCAAAACCGTGCTGCTGAGGTATTATTTTATTGTGGAGTTGAGGATATAATTTATTACGTATTAGTTTTTCAAAAATCTTGGACATAGTTGGTAGAATTGAAATCGGTCTATAATTTTCCACATCTTCTTTTGCACCGCCTTTGAAAACTCGAACTATTCAGGCTGATTTCCATATACACGGAAATTCACCATCTTGGACATACTTATTATATAGATAATGAAGTGATTTACATATAGTGATTTATAATTTACAAATAGTGATTTATTAATATTTTATATAGAAATATAGCGGGAATATTGTCAGTACCAGCGCCTTAGTTACATCTAGAGATTTAAGATGTATTAAGATATCAAATTCTGATATATCAATTATACAGATGTTTGATTCAAGGTAGAAAATAATTAAATAAATTTTACTAGGAAAACCTCCACGCGTACCAGGCAGGAGACCAGACTTGAACCCGCACCCTTCACTAACCGGTCGAATGCACTGATCATTATGCTACCACGGCCCTGACGGATGTGCTGAATTCAAAACGTCAACCAGTCAAAGGCTTGTTTCAATATGTGCTGCTTATATTCCGGGTCTAGTTAGGGGTATCTACTTATTTTCTATGTATCTTAGATACTCCCCAATATTAGATTGTTAAAGTTGTTGATTAATTTAATCGCCCACATGTTTTACGAAATGACAGAAGCACCATTAAAAAAAAACCCAAAATAAAAAATATTGAAATACCAACCAAACACTCGAAGAACTCCATTGTCCAAGTAAGTTTTTGTAAAGCTAAAACGTTTTTTTTTCAATTTGTGATTCGACGTTTTTGTAACATATTATTGATAACACTTGTACACGTCATACTTGTTGGTTAGCAGCGCGCATGGTGTGCGAATTGGCCACCGGATGGGGAGCGGGGCTGGGGCAACAGGCCCCCTAAAATAAACACACTTGAAATAAACAAAATGCTTGTTCGCAAGTGACTCGTCGATTTGTAGAAACGCCATGGACGGACAATTAATCTATACATAGGGATTTTTGGCAGTAAGTAAGGAAAACCTTGAATGTTCATGTTTTTCACATCGCTCACTTTTCCCATATGACATGTTTAAGTAGAGTTCAGTTGCGCATATAGCTTTTTTTATATACAGGACCTCCCACGGGTTGGTCACAAGGAGGGAAAGTATATTAAATATTGAAGATAGGATATTTTACTGAAAGAAGACATCATTTGTAAAAAAATGCTTTCTTTTCTTCCTATACCTACAATTTAAATGTAAGATCAACAACCTTATAATTTTCTCACTGTTCATTCTCCAGGGGAGGGAGAGTTCTAGTGTTCTGACATACAGGCGTTCTGTTTTGCTCAGGCACCAGTCTTTCACAATCTATTTTACTGTTCTTATATAAAATTATATTATAATAAGTTTACTTACGTTAAAATTTCATTTGTTACTACGTAAGTTTATTGTTTTTGCTGGATAATATTGGAGTAATAAAAGTTGTAATCTTAAAAAAAAATATAGTAAGTTGTCATGCGATTTGCAGATTGTGGAATAAGATATAAAGATTATTATTATTACATTATTTGAGTAGATTAAGGTGTCGCTGAGATTCTATAGATGAATAATAATAATAATATTTATTTAGACCAGCATATAAGTAACATGGATGACACACGGACCTTGGGATGATACTGATTTTTTGACCCATAACCTATTTAATGGATAGATAGATATATTTATTTCTTTGTTTATTTTGTTGTAAACAAGTGGACCCAAAAAGGGAAGGTATCTCCGTGAAAAAGATACAGTAGTCAGTCTTCCAACTGCGACAGCATGTTTACATGCAGGCGACGCTATTTAAGGCTTCGCCAATCCTAGGCGTTACGTGACAATAGAACAGAAAAGACTCCTATTTCATGATTTTTGGTAATATTATCAATTCTTTTTATTTCAGAACAGTTAAACCACTCACAAAATTCATGTTATACCTATACGCATGCCAATTTATTTTTCGTCTTATATTTTGTATGGAAATAAGAGATTGGAATTGGAATTGAAGGTCTGTCAATAAAACAATTATTTTACGTAGACGAAGACAGAAGCAACAACTAGGTTTTTTTTAAGACATTTAACTTTATTTTCCTATCTCGTTAATTTAAATATTTTCATGGTTGTTTCTCGAAAAAGTCTTTGAAAGAAAAAAGAAAAATATAATAAGCATTTATGTTTTATTTTTGAATAGCCGATGAATTAAGTTAATTAATCGTCACATGTTCTATTGTGGCATTGTTCGAAATTGTTTAGTTCCAACCTAACCGTTCAATCATTACCCAGATACTATTAACGATAGCAGAAAATTAAAGCTGAATTAAATAGTAATAATGCTGAAACGGTAAATGCGTGCGTGAAAACTAAAGTTAACGCAAATGAAGTCGCAGGTAGTCACAAGTTAATAATACAACTCTGTTTAACGGATTAAAAAGAGTAATTACAATTTTACATGAGAATTGACCTTATGGTGCTAAAGGTATTTTTACCTTTAAAAGAAAGAAAAACCACGCGGACCCCGCAACAGACGGGATTATGTTTTCTTTTATATAATCGAATATTTGTGAAAACATTTTAGAGTTTGTATTTATTATATTTGAAGTAATTTAAAGAAATCATTACAATAATTATGTTTATTACACAAAATATACTCAGCTCATTCAAAAAATTTTGTATCAACGTAATGTTGCAAAAAAAAATTCATTACTGGATTTTATTTTGGAAACGCTGATATCAGAAATACTTTTCCAATAAAATTCCTCAGTATCTATAATCTTACCAGAAGCGCTAGTTTAAAACACACATAAAAAGTTATTATAATTAAAACTAATCCCGAATTGTTGTAATTATACTTTTCCGAAAAATTTAAAGCAATTTTTATTTTTCGCCATCTGGTTGCAATAGTAAGAACATTTATTTCTCCTTAATGGAAGATAAACTTAACATACGAAAAGTTTTTTTAACTTGTTAATTAAACGTACATCTGTTGGTGATAATGCAAAACATTAAAAAAAAACAATATAATTATAAAACACGTACCTGAGCCTCTTCGCTTCATCTATGAACGGTCGCTTTTCCATCTCCGTGAGAAGTTTCCACTCTGCGCCCAGTCGCTTCGAAATCTCCGAGTTATGCATCTTCGGGTTGTCTTGCGCCATTTTCCTCCTCTGTCCCCTGGACCACACCATGAAGGCGTTCATCGGCCTCTTGATGTGTTCATTAGGCTGTTTTCCGAGTGACATCGTGATCTTGTTTTGTTACAAATTAAAAAAAAATAACGGTTTTGATTTTCGAATTTATTTTTTCTCACACTTTTTTTGAAGTTTGAACATTCTTTTTGTTTTTTTTTTTTTTAATAGCAGTTGCAAACTTTTCTTTTGAGTTAGATGTTAGTTAGTAATGTTGAAATATCTTTGCGAGTGTTAATGTGGCGTTGGTATTTAGAATATAATATGTAAATTGGTAATTTAAAAACAATAAATCGCAGTTCCGAAGGCAGCGCACTCGCGAAAAGCTCCCGAAAGCTCAATGCGGCGCTTTTCTCGGCAGCGTCATGTGTAAAGTGAGTTCGGCGAGCGTTCTCCCCCCGTGTCCCCCCTCACGGGCGGCCAGCCAATCAGCGCGCGCCGTGGGCGGCCTCTGGCTTACGATTGGCCGCGAACCCGATTGTCTCTGGCGCCGGCAACAGGTAGTCCAAGAGTCGGTGTTTGCATGTCTATTAGCGAGATTAAATTTCTTCTTAAACCACAATCTTGGCTGAGGCGAAAAAGAGCGCGCCAGAATCGAGATTCGATTTGTAGGACCGTTTTGAGAGTGTTTTTTTCTTCATTTTTTTTTGCTAAGGTGCAATATTGTTGTATTGTATTTGATTTTTTTAAATTATTGTTTCTTAAATCTGAATTCAGATGTTTAATGAGTAATCAAAATTGAAAAATTAAGGGCTTTTTCGGAGTTATGTTTTAAACATTACTAAGGAGTTTAAAACATTACTAAGAAACTGTTTCCTATCATTTATTTAATAAATCTAATTAATTATCAAAGATAATTTATTTCAGACTTACAATCCATAGTGTCCAATCCATATATATCTTACGTTGTTATAATCAAAACTTTGTTAGTAAATAACATACGAATAATAATGAACTGAGAGATATATATGCATTAGATTAACGCAATATTTATTTATATTTTAAATCATTTAACTGCTAGACATTGCCTTGCAACCTAAGAAGTATTAGAGAAAATTCGACACGGCATTCAGGCCCGCGGTGGCATAATGGTCAGTGCATTCGCCCGGATAGCAATGGTTCCGTCTGCTGCCTGATCCGCGTGGAATTTTTGTAGTACAATTTTCTTTCAATATTTATTATTTAGATTTTATTTGTAGAATGCTATCACTGCTGCCATATTCTATATAACAATGATGTCTCTTTTTACACATTAGGTCAAAAATAACATGAAGAATACATACATTTTCGAGTGGGAAATAGAAGACAACTGTTTTGAATAGTTCAACCTACTTTTCTTTCATCCGCCGCTTTTATTATTTTAATTAGAGGTAAAATTAATACTACAGCATTAAATAAATAGTAACGACAAATGAAAATCCGATGCCTTTATTTGATATTATCAATAGGTGTCAAATAATTGGAAATTATATATTGTTTGTCTATAATCTACTATATAAAAATAAGTCGGGTTTTCCTTCCTGACGCTATAACTCCAGAACGCACGTACCGATTTCCACGGTTTTGCATTCGTTGGAAAGGTCTCGGGCTCCGTGAGGTTTATAGCAAAGAAAATTCAGGAAAAAATAAAAAAAAACTTCTTTTAATCACCAAACGAAATGTTACATAAAACGAAGCCATCTGGTGGCGAAACGGAGTTCGCCGGGTTTGCTAGTCTACTATATAAAAATAAGTCGGGTTTTCCTTCCTGACGCTATAACTCCAGAACGCACGTACCGATTTCCACCGTTTTGCATTCGTTGGAAAGGTCTCGGGCTCCGTGAGGTTTATAGCAAAGAAAATTCAGGAAAAATAAAAAGAAAATGTTCTTTTAATCACCAAACGAAATGTTACATAAAACGAAGCCATCTGTTGGTGAAACGGAGTTCGCCGGGTTTGCTAGTGAATTGTATAATTATTACTAGTTGTCCCAGCGAACATCGTACCGCCATAAAAAAATAGGGGTTGGTAGAAGGGTGACAATTTAAGGTTGTATGTATTTTTGTATCATCAATCATCATCAACAGCCTATCCTAGTCCACTGCTGGACATAGGCCTCTCCAATTGCACGCCACTCAGATCGATCTTGGGCTACTCGCATCCAGCTCCTGCGCAAATCGTCACTCCATCGTACCTGTTTTGTATGATGTGTCATAAAAAAATAAAAACCAAAAAAAATTGTCCATAAAAATAAATAAATTTAAGGGTGAAAAATAGATGTTTTCTGATTCTCAGACCTACTGAATATGCATATAAAATTTCACGAAAATCGGTCGAGCCGTTTCAACTTTTTATAAAAACAGTTATTTTTAATGATTAATAAAAATATCGATTATTTTAAGACACGTCACTAGTTCGAGGATCATTAAAAATAACTGTTTTTATAAAAAGTTAAAACTCCATGCAAATATTTTAAGAAAATTAGAGAAGACTCCTTATATGATGTACTCCAACGCCCTTCAAACTTTATTTGTATTTTTGTAACACCCTGTATATTTTCTTTCTGTATAATGTAGGAAGGAAAACAAAATAAAGATTTACTACTCTCATCTTACATGGATATGGAATTTATAAAGTGACTTCTGAATCTATCCCTGTTCCAGCTACTACTACGACAAAGTAGTTTGCTATATGGTTCGGTAGTCATAATATCTTATTTGCATTTCCAAGGCCGCCACCACAGACAATCTGCACGTGAATGGCTACTAATGGAGGACTACACGCATAGCTAAATGTGGACCGCGACACATACCTGGGTCACCACTGACTGTACTACTGCTTAGATCCAGATTGAATAGGGGTTTACCTTGTATCGCAGAACTTTTAATGCCATAATATTATGATGCATAACAGCGGATGGCATCAAATACATTTCGCAGTCACTCATATAGCAGACAAATAAACCCATAATTTTGTAAGTCATAATTATAAGGCACAAGATGTAGTTGTTATAATGTATTTAAATAAATATTACATAATAATGGGCAATGCACAAAAATGTTTCAAGTAGCCATTTTCTTAGTGTAACTTGGCTTTCTTTTTAATGGTGTCTGGCAGCCTGTTGTAAACCATAGGATCCATTATGTAGACGGACCTCTCTGATTGTGCCATCGTAATAATTTTGCGGAATTTTAATTCATAATACAAACACAAGACGTACGATTGCGACCGAGCGCACACTGCACAGCTACGTTTTGATCACAACAGTAACCTAAACCTTAAAAACATTTAAGTTTGGACGTCAAATATTTTTAACATAGGTGCGGAAGTGGAGTCTCTCAGGTTACTATATTAACATGCAACCTTTTTCTTGAAACTGATTTCGAACCACGTCAAAACCTTATCTATATCTGAATATAGGTCTCTCATAAGAAAAAAACTGGTATTTGGAATCAACTTTCTTCATTATAATTAAAGAAAATATGAAAAATTAATAATCATGGACCTTTTTTAGGGTTATTTATTTGAACCCATTTAAAGTTACTCAATGAGTAAGATTGAGGTAGGTATCTCCTTTATGGCTGTTTCGAACTAGAAAAACTCGCTCTATTACTTTCTGTCAAATTTCATAACAAAAATCTCAAACAAAATACAAAAACTATCAAAATATTTTAAAAGGCAACAGTGGACGTGGAGCCTGACAAGCTCCCGCCAATATTTCAATGAATATTACTCACGTGCTATGCATTCAGCGATGCAACTTCCTCCCTTTTTATCTATTTTGCTGAAAGAAGTAAAGCTACTGAGATGCTCGGGTGCAAGGAACGGGAGGAAGTGTGTGAAACTAAGAATTTGAGAACCGCGAGGAGCCTGTGAGACTCCACGGCCATACTTAAATTATGCAGGATAAAATATCTCAATCTGAAAAGTTTGCCACTGGGAATTCAGACATATAAACCATTTGTCCAAACAATGCTTAAATTAAAAAAAAAATGCGTTACAAATATTTGTTACAATAAGATTACGCCAAATAAATTTTGATGCAACAAGATTCTGCAAGATACAGGTAACCCGTTAGTTACTTAATTTTTTTTGCAATCATGAAATATGTATTTAAGAATTAAAAGAAATCTAAGGCTCTATCAAATAATATTTCAGGTAAGGAAAACAATCCTTAAAATAATTAATCTTTGTTATTGTTACACTTACTCATACTAATTTAAATGTTAAGGTTCACTTGCACCAAAATTCTTCATTAAAATTCAGGCTTCATCCTGCTTAAAACCAAATTCCAGGATTGTCAATTTTTTTAAATGAAATAGAGATAGAACGAGGCCTAAACATGATTAGTTTTTACATTTGGTGGGCCTGCGGACCCCTGATTTACTTATTATAGACCCATAAATAATCCGTAGACCATACTTTAAAATGAAAATTTCTTCCAATATCTATATGTGACTGGTGGTTGTTCAGCGGTATACGTAAAAGGCTGATGGTGAGAATTCCTACCGAAGTTCCGAGTTACTCCTGTGTTTAACGGTCATTTAATTCCACTTTCATTAAATGACCGTTAAACACAGGATTAACTTAAGCTTAACCACTTTACATAATTTTGGTAGAGATGTATTACCTCCAGATATGTTAGTAGTTTCGTTTTTATTTATTTTTAAGCATTTAACTGCTAGATGTTTAAATCTAAAGAAAAGTTTTATTAGAAAAAACTGCCTTGCAGCTTAAGGCTAGGAAAATTTCGACGCGGCCAATAGGGCCGTGGTAGCATAATGGTCAGTGCATTCGCCCGGATTGCGAAGGGTGCGGGTTCGAGTCCCGTCCGCTGCCTATTCCGCGTGGATTTTTTTTTCTAGTAAACTTTTCTTTAGATGTTAGTAATTTATTTTGTAATTGTGGTATCTATGTTGGAGTGGATTATTTATATTATGCTAAGCTTGCGTCTGATAGATTACTGATGTGGTCATTTTGTTTCCGGTTCTGTATCTTTCAAATGAATCCAAACGCGAAAGAAAAATAAAAGTTAAAGAGGTCGATTGATAAAACCCAAAAACTACAATAACCTAGTTTATAGGTTTTATTGATGTTGTTTGTTACGTGAAGGTAGGTTGGGCATGAACACATCATTATTCTTTTACCTTTTCTTATTTATAAAGAGTGGTAAAAATTTGCTTAAACGTATTGATGACAAGCAAGGTGAAAACACTTTATTATTATTGGAAATAAACTCCAATAGATCAGATCCATTGATAAAATGTGTGTTGCGCTTGAATTCATAGAGTTCTCAACCATTTTTTTTTGTTAAATTGATCCACAGTTCATTCAGAAGTTATAGCGGAATAAAGAAATGCAAATTCATACAAGAATCCTAAAACAATTACTTTGGGCAGTCTTCT